TTTTGGATTCTACGTGAAATTTCACTTCTTTTGATACCCAGATGTCGATATCTACCATTTATGGTTTTTAAGTTATTTTGACTTTAAGAAAAAAAATGGCGGATGCAGATGGTACCTTGATAATTGATTACTTGAAAACGGTTGTAGTCATGGCAAACTATTTTTATCAGTGCATAGAGAATGAATAGGGCTTTCTTTTAGTACACTGAAAAAAAAGTTAAGTTGCGTACGACCACCCCTATGGATATCCAAATTTATGAAACTTCAAAGACTAAAAACTCAGTTTTTTTAAATGGAATGACCATGTTCTTACTATTCCATGAGATAGAGAATCGAAATGGGGATATTTTGCCAATATATGTTCCTATAGCTATCTTGAACGGTTTCTGACTTATTCCCATTTTATTGAATTGACACTATTTTTTTCGGATTTTCTTTTTAGTAGTCGGCCATGATTCTATAAACAATTGAATTTTAAACAAATCTAGTGACACTAATCCGTCACCTACTGTTATAGGTTAACATAGTTTTTCAAAAATCGAAAAATGACTCGCAGTGGTTTCACCTTTTTTGGAATTTAATTGTTATTTATGGTGAAATGGGCAGAATCGCCGCGCGTGCTTTCCGTACATTCATTCGAAAACTGGAACGAAATTGTATGAATTTTGGAAATTTTGTACCCCAAATGCACTACAAACCGTTGAAGCACAAGTGATACAAAGCTCTACAAGAGAATATTTAAGAAAATGAATTGAATTGCAAATGCAAGATTAACAAAATAAATTCAATGCAAAATATAAAAAACTTCGTTGAAACATTTTTGTTATGGAATTGCTGCTAGAACAGATATCGCATTACCTCTCTGAATTTTTAGACTTATACGTTGTTTAAGAAATTCAGTTGAACGACTGTTTAGATTTTTCAAAAATTTTCCGTCCTATATCCTTATTAATAAATGAGTTATTTATTAATGAATTATTTAGACTAGAACTAGAATCAATGGTATTAAAGAATCCATTCCTTGATTTGTTTAAAATTCGATTGTTATAAAATCATGGCCAACTACTAAAAAGAAAATGCGAAAAAAATGGCATCAATTCAGAGATCAATTCAATGAAATGGGAATAAATCAGAAACTGTTACAGATAGCTATAGGAACATGTAATATCAAAATATGCCAATTTCGATTCTCTATCTCATGTAATATTAAGAACATGGTCATTTCATTTAAAAAAACTGAGTTTATAGACTTTGAAGTTTCTTAAATTTGGATCTCCATAGGTGCGGTTGTACGCAACTTAACTAAAAGAAAGCCCTAGTCATTCTCTATGCACTGATAAAAATGGGTTGCCATGACTATAACCTTTTTCAAGTAATCAATTATCAAGGTACCATCTGCATCCGCCATTTTTTTTCTTAAAGTCAAAATAACTTAAAAACCATACGTGGTAAATATCGACATGGTGAGTATCAAAAGAACTGAAATTTCACGTAGAATCCAAAAATGCAATAAAAAATAGGGGTTGCCATTTAAAATAACGAAGTTACTATCTACTTCCGGTGTTTCCGGAAGTGCGGACATTTTGAAAATATTTTACATAGATTCGGGCTTCAGAGTAACTCCTAAGTACAAATTTTCAAAAATCTACGTATTTTACTTTCCCAGAAACGTTTAACTAAAGCTCCCAAAAAACACCCTGTATATACACTTTAAAACAATACACGTCCTGTATGTATTATCTTATCATTTATAGAAAAACCATTGATTTTTTTCATGTTTATTAATGCAGAAAGGTAAAACCTTACACCTGGGGGAGTTGGCTACAGCCCAAAGCCGGTAAGGGTGGGCGGGCGGAGCTCATCTGCTACTACACGAACAAGAAAATTAGTTCTCTTTTTCTACAATTCAATATAAATGAAAATGTCCCCTGGAAAAATTATAAATGACACATGGGTCAATGACAGTTTGGCATTGCACATAACAGTATAAAAAGGATCAAAATTTAAAAAATGTGTAAATTAACCCCGGATAAGTGGGGTTCTACTGCACTACAGTATTTTCCCAGATACTGACTTTCAGTTCTTTTTATACAACAGTGTAAATAAAGTCTTTAAATATAAAAAGTACCGCAATCCATTGGGCTCGTGCGTTAGAGAGAGAACGCATGATTTTTGCCCAAAAATGGCCGAAGTTACCAGATTCTAGTAACTTTAATGTTAGGGATTGTTCCACCTGTTTTGAGATATCTGTATATATTTTTATAAAACATGACAGTACTATGAAGTTAGGTTATAAAAAATTACAGCTATTCAGATTTTATTTGTCAATTTTTTTAAGTTGGCAGCCCAAAAATGGCGGATGATTGCGGTACTTTCTATATCTAGTGACTTTAAGTGTAAATTTGTTGCAGCGCCATCTAATGCATAAATCCACAAGCGCTAATTTTACAGTTTTGGAAGGTACACGTTTATACTGCTGCTCGATAGAGGGCGCTTATGAACAAAAATCACCGATTCTCTTACTACTCAGATTATGATTTAAATTCCTTACCTATGACCCATTGGCCCGCCCGCCTTGTTGGCATCGTCCAATTTCGGAATGTCCTTCAATTTCGTCTGTTTCTTACCGCTGGTTTTCGAGAGTTGATCTTGCTCCTTGCTCTTTGCCCACATAAGAATCGTTTCGATGATGCCGCCCTTTGCGACAGCATTAAAAAACTTCTCGCTCAAATTGCACTTCGAACCGAAATTCTTCACTTGCAACGTCATTGTTTCCTTCGATTGCGAGTCGAAGGATGGATTGACGATAAGACAGTTAATAAAAATCCACATGTGATTCTTAATTTGACCCGGCTTAATGGCGACTCCGCCCTTATTTTTCTTCTTTAGAAGCTCGCCGACGTGCTTTGTGATCATGTCGACGACGTGATCGACGTGCTTGCCACCTTTACTCGTGGCGATGCTGTTCACGAACGAAACCTGAAGAGTAAATTGTGAACAACCCATTTGAAGTTATATATTGATTTTCCCAAAGAAAGGTATAAATAAAACTCATTTTTAACAAGCACAAATTAACATTAATTGACCACAAATTCCGGGCGTATATGCACTAAGAAAATAAAGAACTAATGACAACAATCCTTAAATCATATGTTCAATTTTACCAATTGTCAAATTAAAAACATTTGTTTATTTGGAAATGATTGCGTCATATGTGTTATCTCCGGTCGTTGCAATAAGAAATTTGTTATCGCTACGGTAGCAAATTAGTTTCAAGATAAGAAAAACACAAGTGTTTAATTTCCTCGATGGTGCGCAAAAAGGAGGAAGGAAAGAAGGTTTTAAATGGGCGAATTGGGCGTTGATCGTGGGTGTTTTTGGTGTAACGAGGTCAGCGGAAATTGAGCGTATTTTGTTACAAGAGAATTTTTGATATTGCTGCTGGATTTTACTTTGGATTTCACACACCAGACGCTTAAATCTAAATGAACATAGTGAGTTTATAAAATGTGATCAATTAATGTCGATTTTACGATCGTTTTAATGGTTAGAATCGTGAAAAACTTGGTACCTGTCGAAATCCGTAGTCGGACGTCGTAACGGCCACCTCCCATCGTTCATTCGGACTTTCGTATATCAACTTATGGGCGTCGTTCCCGTCATCGTCGTTATTCTTTATGTACAGGTCTACGTATTCTTTAAAATTTTTCACCGGTAGCTTTTTGCCGTTTAAAAACACCTTGACACCGCGAGTGGAGGCGGCCACATCGAATGCGCGTCTAGAAAAGAGTCCGACGATATCGTCGTCTAAATTTTCCATTTTAAACTTTTTCAAGTCCGGAGAAAAAGTAATCTTCGTAAACTCCTCCCCGGAGTAGTCCTTGGTCTTGGGTTCGGACGCCTTCGACATGTTCGCGCTCCACGACTGTTTAAAATGCTGTTTGTACTCTTTGCTTGAGGTCTCCACTGTAAACTTTGTACTGAAGACGTTGCACAGCTTCGCGCCGTACCCGTTTCTACCGCCGGTAACCTTCTCCTCTTCGTCGTTGAAGTTGGACGAGGTTAAGAGATGGCCAAAGATCATGGTCGGAACGTACATTTTCTCCTCCTTGTGCATCACGACAGGTATACCTGATGGAAAATGATTGGAGTTACAATATACCCACGCTAGTAGTATGGTTCAAGATAAATTTTAATATTCCTAAAGTAATCGACCTACGAGAACCGTGCACACGAACAGGTTTTGTATCAAATCCAAACAAAGGATTGTGGTCATTTTGTTCAATGATTGGAAAAATGCATTTAATTTCAGTAATACTAGTACTCCTTTGGTTGGATTAAAAATTTGTTTAGTATTCAGAGGAGGGTGGTGGATTTTGTGCCAGTGCCATAGACTCTCAATTTCATGTTATGTAAAGTGAGGTATTCGACCCTTGTAGATGTAACTAAGCCGTTACAGGCCTAATCCTGCTTGAAAAAAGACGTATAGAACAACTTAAGCCCTTCTGCAGAGGCACCTCTAAAAAGCATTATGCGGGTCACTCTGTAATTGGGCGAAAGCCTATTGATGGCCCAGAACAAGAGAGGGATAATAAATAAATAAACAAACATTTGTGATTATGATTAAGTTCCGTAAGGTGAAGTTTAATTAGTTTCAAGATACGCACGTGTTATCGCCGATAAGAAAACAACAGATGTGCAGCTAATTTCAAAGCTGCTTTTGCTGTTACGAAATCTTAAAGGTGGTATAAAAGAGACCCTTTAAATACGAGCCCGCTTCTACATTCTCTACAACTGACACCTCCAAAACACCAGTTCTAAAGAACTTTGAAAAAAATTATGGGGTAAGTGGTAAGGGTACTAAACATACCTCCAAGGAAATAGAGTCAATCTTTATTTACCTACAACTGACAAAAAAATCTTCGTACACTGCCTAATTATTGGGTAAATCGGCCATGAAGAATTGCTGGAACATATTTTCAAGTTCTAAAAATGAGCAACAGAGGGCGTAACTGCCATCTTCAATTTTAAAATTGTATTTTCTTTAAATTTCGCAAAATAAACTAAAAGAAATTTTTCACTTATTTAAAGAGAACCATTTTCGTAAAAACAAAAACTCTGTTATTTCAAAAACAAAGATGGTGTGGGGCGTTCAATTATTTTTGCAATAACCTGCTTTAACTTCTTAACCGTTTGGCCGATTTTAACAAATTTGGTATGGTTGAAAAGGACATTCCTTGGGCAATGAGAATCAACCAGGATTCAACTAAATTAACTATATTTTGGTTGATTCTTGTTGCCTAAGGAGTGCTCTTTTCAACAATACTAAATTTGTTAAAATCGGTCACACGGTTAAGAAGTTAAAGCAGGTTATTGCAAAAACAATTGAACGCCCCCTCCCAATCTTTGTTTTTGAAATAACTGAGTTTTTGTTTTTACGAAAATGATAGATAAACTGGTTCTCTTAAAAATGTGAAAAAACAATGTTTAGTTTATTTTGCGAAATTGAAAGAAAATGCAATTTTAAAATGGCAGTAAAATTTTGTCTCGCCACCAGGAGAACATAATAGTTGAGGAGGTCTTTTCCCATCACCCACAAAAGTATTTCGAAGCCAAATTTCGTTTTAAATCTTTTCCAATTTGGTATCAGGGGGTTATAATGTGCGAGGAGGTGTTTAAGCTCCTAATACACGAGGGGACAGTCAAAAAATTCTTTTAAAATTTTGTCTGGCTACCAGGAGACCATAATAGTCGAGGAGGTCTTTTCTCATCACCCACAAAAGTATTTCGAAGCCAAATTTCGTTTTAAATCTTTTCCAATTTGGTATCAGGAGGTTAGAATGTGCGAGGAGGTGTTTCAGCTCCTAATACACGAAGTGCCAATCAGAAAATTATTGTAAAATTTTGTCTGGCTACCAGGAGAACATAATAGTCGAGGAGGTCTTTTCCCATCACCTACAAAAATATTTCGAAGCCAAATTTCGTTTTAAATCTTTTCCAATTTGGTATCAGGAGGTTATAATGTGCGAGGAGGTGTTTCAGCTCCTAATACACGAGGAGACAATCAGAAAATTCAATTAAAATTTTGTCTGGCTACCAGGAGAACATAATAGTCGAGGAGGTCTTTTCCCATCACCCACAAAAATATTTCGAAGCCAAATTTCGTTTTAAAACTTTTCCAATTTGGTATCAGGAGGTTATAATGTGCGAGGTGTTTCAGCTCCTAATACACGAGGGACAATCAGAAAATCTTTTAAAATTTTGTCAGGCTACCAGGAGAACATAATAGTCGAGGAGGTCTTTTCCCATCACCCACAAAAATATTTCGAAGCCAAATTTCGTTTTAAATCTTTTCCAATTTGGTATCAGGAGGTTATAATGTGCGAGGAGGTGTTTAAGCTCCTAATACACGAGGGGACAATCAGAAAATTCTTTTAAAATTTTGTCTGGCTACCAGGAGAACATAATAGTCGAGGAGGTCTTTTCCCATCACCCACAAAAGTATTTCGAAGCCAAATTTCGTTTTAAATCTTTTCCAATTTGGTATCAGGAGGTTATAATGAGCGAGTAGGTGTTTAAGCTCCTAATACGCGAGGGGACAATCAGAAAATTCTTTTAAAATTTTGTCTGGCTACCAGGAGAATATAATAGTCGAGGAGGTATTTTCCCATCACCCACAAAAATATTTCTAAGCCAAATTTCGTTTTAAATTTTTTCCAATTTGGTATCAGGAGGTTATAATGTGCGAGGTGGTGTTTAAGCTCCTAATACGCGAGGGGACAATCAGAAAATTCTTTTAAAATTTTGTCTGGCTACCAGGAGAACATAGTCGAGGAGGTATTTTCCCATCACCCACAAAAATATTTCGAAGACAAATTTCGTTTTAAATCTTTTCCAATTTGGTATCAGGAGGTTATAATGTGCGAGGAGGTGTTTCAGCTCCTAATACACGAGGAGACAATCAGAAAATTCAATTAAAATTTTGTCTGGCTACCAGGAGAACATAATAGTCAAGGAGGTCTTTTCCCATCACCCACAAAAATATTTCGAAGCCAAATTTCGTTTTAAATCTTTTCCAATTTGGTATCAGGAGGTTATAATGTGCGAGGAGGTGTTTAAGCTCCTAATACACGAGGGGACAGTCAGAAAATTCTTTTAAAATTTTGTCTGGCTACCAGGAGACATAATAGTCGAGGAGGTCTTTTCTCATCACCCACAAAAATATTTCGAAGCCAAATTTCGTTTTAAATCTTTTCCAATTTGGTATCAGGAGGTTATAATGTGCGAGGAGGTGTTTCAGCTCCTAATACACGAAGTGCCAATCAAAAATTATTGTAAAATTTTGTCTGGCTACCAGGAGAACATAATAGTCGAGGAGGTCTTTTCCCATCACCCACAAAAATATTTCGAAGCCAAATTTCGTTTTAAATCTTTTCCAATTTAGTATCAGGAGGTTATAATGTGCGAGGAGGTGTTTCAACTTCTAATGCACGAGGAGACAATCAGAAAATTCAATTAAAATTTTGTCTGGCTACCAGGAGAACATAATAGTCGAGGAGGTCTTTTCTCATCACCCACAAAAATATTTCGAAGCCAAATTTCGTTTTAAGTCTTTTCCAATTTAGTATCAGGAGGTTATAATGTGCGAGGAGGTGTTTCAGCTCCTAATACACAAGGAGACAATCAGAAAATTCAACTAAAATTTTGTCTGGCTACCAGGAGAACATAATAGTCGAGGAGGTCTTTTCCCATCACCCACAAAAGTATTTCGAAGCCAAATTTCGTTTTAAATCTTTTCCAATTTGGTATCAGGGGGTTATAATGTGCGAGGAGGTTTTTAAGTTCCTAATACACGAGGGGACAGTCAGAAAATTATTTTAAAATTTTGTCTGGCTACCAGGAGAACATAATAGTCGAGGAGGTCTTTTCCCATCACCTACAAAAATATTTCGAAGCCAAATTTCGTTTTAAATCTTTTCCAATTTGGTATCAGGAGGTTATAATGTGCGAGGAGGTGTTTCAGCTCCTAATACACGAGGGGACATTCAGAAAATTCAATTAAAATTTTGTCTGGCTACCAGGAGAACATAATAGCCCAGGAGGTCTTTTCCCATCACCCACAAAAATATTACGAAGCCAAATTTCAATACTAAATTTGTTAAAATCGGTCAAACGGTTAAGAAGCTAAAACAGGTTATTGCAAAAACAATTGAAACGCCCCCCGCCATCTTTGTTTTTGAAATAACTGAGTTTTTGTTTTTACGAAAATGATAGATAAACTGGTTCTCTTAAAAATGTGAAAAAAGAATGTTTAGTTTATTTTGCGAAATTAAAAGAAAATGCAATTTTAAAATTTAAGATGGCAGTTACGCCCTCTGGTGGCCATTTTTAGAACTTATTTTATATTTTCCAGCGATGCTTCATAACCGATTTACCCAATAATTTTTTTTCCCCCTAAGTCATACGACCAACGACTTATTGGGTCACCCAGTACAATGGGGAGAGAATACCACCCAATCAGATCGAAGGAAATTTTAGTAAGTTGTCAATTGAACATAAATCTTATTCCCAAAATTTCATTTTTATGATTACTAGAGTTTCGTGTAACATTTCCAAAATAAAACCATGCACAATCATTTTACTTGCACAATGAGATTAAGCTAGGAACCCAACATCCTGTTACTTGTATAACAATTTTCAGTATAAGAAACCCAAAAAAGATATATATTTTGCGCTCAATTGGCTGTCATATTAATTAATTCGAATATTGTTGCTTGGGCTTCACGGAAAATAAACCTCTTTCTCTCCTTAAATCGGTACTACACCAATTGACAGTTAAGAAGTTGTTTTGGTAGAATAAAATTAAGAGACCTTCAGAAGAGATTTCGTCATTTAAAAGTAGACCTAAACAATACACGTAAATCCCTATGTCTACTTCTTAATAAATAGCACTATTTACATTTTAAAAAACTACAGTATTGCAAGTAGCGCCCTTTAGTATTATTATTATTATTCATGGGTTACAAATTACAATTTGCCTATTTTATAAAATGGCGGTTAATTACAGGGAACTTGGGAGACATTTGAAACATGTAACTTTCTAAGGCATGAAAGCTCGTCACCTTAAATTAAAAGATCCTGTAATTGTGCAACTTTTTGTCATAAACCCCTTTAGTCCGATTGCTCAGATTACTTCCGTATGGCGGTTATAATCATCAAACAGGTACATGGCAGCATCCGTAATTTTTACCCCTCATGTTGGTAGTACGGAATTGTGGTATATTTAAACAGATTGCGAGAAAGCCGAGCCAGTATACCATATTGAACTAAGCTGAGCAAACACACTGAAGATTTAAATACCTTGCCCGTTATTCCACACCGAAATGACATTGTTCTCTTGATTTATCTCTATCTTAATGCAATCCATCTTCTTGTCCCTCTGTTTATTATCGGCGGCATTCACGAGGATCTCATCGAATATTTTGTAAAGGCCCGGCACGTAAACGATCTCCTTTTGCACCATCTTACTATTCTCCGTGTCGTAAATCCACATCAACTCTTTGGTGTGCTCCACCGAACCGATGTAAGTGTCGGGCCGTAGAAGTATATGCTCCAATTGGGTCTTTTTCTGAAAGGTCTTTTCGATTGTGTTCTTTTTGGGCCCCGCCGGTTTCGGTGGAGGCGGTTCGGCCTCTCCATTTTTACTCATGTTTGTTAACATGTCCTAAAACGTAAAGAAGCGGTCTTTAGCCAAGAGACCGTTAAATGTCAAGAAGAAATCTCACCCTTATATCGGTCATGTTAAACGCTTATTTGTCTAACTAAACTACCACATACAAAAGTTTATTTACTAGCACACGCTGACGACGAGGTTAAAGAAAGTTATTCCGACTAAAGAATACGAAAAACAATGGCCGCCATTTACGATCTGATTCTCTCGTAGACTAATAAACAACAACTTTACCGGCAAACGTCGGCTTTCACCGTATTACCCATAATCCCGTTCGGTTTCGAGCGTCGCGCTTAAATCTGGCCAATCGAGGTGCAGAATTTGAAAAATGCACCAATTAAATTTGAAAGGGGTCGTCGAAATCGATTTCGTTTCTTCAGCAACGTCTTTTTCGTTTGAAAAAATTTTAAAACGTGACCGGTTTGAACGTTTGGCGGGAAGCAATATTCGGATCGACTCTCTATTGAAGTGCCTTTTTGTGCAATTACTCGATATATTTGTTTATTAGGTACTCTAATGCGTATTTGACAGAAACTTTCATCTGCCTCGCCCGTTGCCACAGAGCATGCACGTGGGCTATCCTCCAAGCCCAATGTTGTGCAGGTTATAGTTGGCTGTGATCAGACCTGGGCAGAATACTTTAAAAAAGTATTTGAATACTAAATAGTTTTACGTCCACCACAAGCGAATACTAGATACAGATACATTGAAAAGTATTCAAATACTTTAAAAAATTAGTATTCAAATACTTGTCACTCAAATATATTAAACATTTAAAAATAAAATTTCTTATAGAATGTGGCCTGTAGAATCCATAATTTCAAACAGTTCCAAGATTGGGCTACTGGTTCAAAAGCTACAGTCCTTTGAATTTTTTTTCGAAATGGGTTTTTAGTCTATAACTTTTGATTGAAAAGTCTGATCGAAAAAGCACGAATTGTTTTGGATTCTACACACCAAAATTAATACAAAAAAGTGTTTTCCCGAGCAATTTAGGTGCAGTCGATTTTTGTAAAAAAGGAAGGGTATACACTGCCTTTTTTTGAGGCCTGCAAAAAAAATTGTCTCAGATCGACACGGAAAAAAAATTGTCTTATAGAATGTGGCCTGTAGAATCCATAATTTCAAACAGTTCCAAGATTGGGCTACTAGTTCAAAAGTTACAGCTCTTCGAATTTTTTTTTCGAAATTGGTTTCTAGTCTATAACTTTTGATTGAGAAGTCTGATCGAAAAAGTATAAATTGTTTTGGATTCTACGCACCAAAATTAATAAGAAAAAGTATTTTCCCGAGAAATTTTGGTGCCGTCGATTTTTGTAAAAAAGGAAGGTTATACACTGCCTTTTTTTGAGGCCTGCAAAAAAAATTGCCTCAGATCGACCCGGAAAAAAAGTTTTCTTATAGAATGTGGCCTGTAGAATCCATAATTTCAAAAAGTTCCAAGATTGGGCTACCAGTTCAAAAGTTACAGCCCTTTGAATTTTTTTTCGAAATTGGTTTCTAGTCTATAACTTTTGATTGAGAAGTCTGATCGAAAAAGTACGAATTGTTTTGGATTCTACGCACCAAAATTAATAAGAAAAAGTGTTTTCCCGAGAAATTTTGGTGCAGTCGATTTTTGGTAAAAAAGGAAGGTTATACACTGCCTTTTTTTGAGCCCCGAAAAAAAAATTGTCTCAGATCGACCCGGAAAAAATTTTTTTTATAGAATGTGGCCTGTAGAATCCATAATTTCAAACAGATCCAAGATTGGGCTACTAGTTCAAAAGTTACAGCCCTTTGAATTTTTTTTCGAAATTGGTTTCTAGTCTATAACTTTTGATTGAGAAGTCTGATCGAAAAAGTACGAATTGTTTTGGATTCTACACACCAAAATTAATACAAAACAGTGTTTTCCCGAGCAATTTAGGTGCAGTCGATTTTTGTAAAAAAGGAAGGTTATACACTGCCTTTTTTTGAGGCTTGCAAAAAAAATTGTCTCAGATCGACCCGGAAAAAAATATTTTTCTTATAGAATGTGGCCTGTAGAATCCATAATTTCAAACAGTACCAAGATTGGGCTACTAGTTCAAAAGTTACAGCCCTTTGACTTTTTTTCGAAATTGGTTTCTAGTCTATAACTTTTGATTGAGAAGTCTGATCGAAAAAGTATGAATTGTTTTGGATTCTACGCACCAAAATTAATAAGAAAAAGCGTTTTCCCGAGCAATTTTGGTGCAGTCGATTTTTGTAAAAAAGGAAGGTTATACACTGCCTTTTTTTGAGGCCTGCAAAAAAAATTGTCTCAGATCGACCCGGAAAAAAATTTTTCTTATAGAATGTGGCCTGTAGAATCCATAATTTCAAAAGGTTCCAAGATTGGGCTACCAGTTCAAAAGTTACAGCCCTTTGAATTTTTTTTCGAATTTGGTTTCTAGTCTATAACTTTTGATTGAGAAGTCTGATCGAAAAAGTACGAATTGATTTGGATTCTACGCACCCAAATTAATAAGAAAAAGTGTTTTCCCGAGAAATTTTGGTGTAGTCGATTTTTGGTAAAAAAGGAAGATAAATAACTGCCTTTTTTTGAGCCCCGAAGAAAAAATTGTCTCAGATCGACCCGGAAAAAAGGCTCTCGTTATTTTACTTATTTTTAAGCACCCCCCCCCCTCTCCTTCTCTGGATACGATGGTTTTTCTACACGCGTGTTATAAAACTTTCGTTCTCTTATTTACCTGTACTGAGCTCTACAACGAATCTAGACCCATTAAAATTTCAGCACTCTTTGAACTTATACTCCCTCCAAGAAAAATTTAAAACTAGATCGCTTTTAGGGTGACACAGTTGAACCCCTTTGTGAGTTTCTCTCGTATAATTGTCTCTCATAACACGCGTCAAACTCTCGAAGAAATAACTCGCACAAGTCAAATTTCAAACTCTGCATACGATGATTTTTCGGCTTATTATTTGAGTTTTCTGTATGCAAAACGCCACTTTAAATATGAGTTAAGCGTCTCTAATTTTCAAAACAGACCATTTTACGACGGAAAGTTTCTTTATACCACAGGAAAAGCTTCAGTTGCCACTAAGATCCAAATAAATCATCCTCCTTTACCTGAAAAGCAAAAATTTGAAGTTATTAACATAAGTCAAAATGATTGTCAATGTCATCTTTTCGTGAGCGCTTGACCAAAATCCCTCATTCAATTCGCCTTTAGAGCATCAGTTAACAGGGAATGAAGACGCACGCCAGTTTCAGGTATTCGTCACCACAATGTTTCCAAAATACACATTTTTGCACAAATGATGCTTGTAATAATAGTCGTGTGATTGTAACTTAGGAGTAATGGAAATTTGAATGGTATGAACAAAAGAAGAGAAGAAAGAGTAGTAAATAGAAGAATACGAGAGAGGATGAACGGGAAATACAACATGCGTTAACATCTGTGTTTAAGTTGGCGAAAAAAACATCCGCTTATCTAAACTTAATTAGCTTACGCAGCGATAACGAAACTTCTTATCGCAACGACCAGATTTACAAGAGATAACTTTAATCAGACACTCGCCCAATTAATTCCAGATGTTCCTTAACTGAACAATAAAAATTAAAAGGCGATTATTTAAACAAATATTAAACATCCAATATTCTAATGCAAAACATTAAACTAATATGATCGAAATTGCGTTTAATCTTAAACAACAACCAAATTTAACGCTCAAAGAAAATTAAAATTCACACATACAGGGTGACCCAATATTATTATAGGTGTTTTCTAAAAGGAAAATATAAAAAAAGGCTTCAAATGCCCTTAGGTTGATCTCTTTAAGGACGTCCATAGGTTTTTTTATAGGTACCTCAATCAATGCACGATGCCTTTCTTAAAGATTTAGACCTTTAATTTTACATAAATGAAATAACGATACCTCATATAAAACGTTCTTTTTGCAGGGGACGATGTTGATACAAAATATTATGCTGGAGACAAGTCTCTTTACAATAACAATGACTCCGTCCATCAAATTTTCTATTTCGTACCCAGAATTACATCAGGTGCCAACTAATTGGCGGCGAGGACTGCTGAATTTCTAAAATTAAAGATTTTCGCCGTGCTGGAAGCTGGGAGGGGCCATAGAAAAATTATAATTATTTCTTTTAAAGGTTTTGTTAGTACCTATACTTAATTGAGCTAGTTGGACACGTACTTGTGCATATATCCTATTTGGCGCCCAACGTGGGGCACACACACATAAGCAATCTAGGTCAAGGAAGTTAATCAAGCCATCCACTTTATATCATTTATTTGATGAGGATATGCAACTTTCATTTGCAATAAAACCACTACATCAGTAAGAAACTTTTATTTGCGCTACGTCTTACCACTAAAATAAGTTAAAACATTCCATCATTAATTCCGATAGGAACCAAGATCGCTAAAAATAAAATCACATTGCGCAACAGCGGCCTCCAATCCGAGGGTACAGCGTAAGGAAGCAGCACTTTTGTTACCCTGTGCACTTCGTGCGAGCAACACACGAAAATGAAAGACGTAACGATAACATTCAGGACCGGATAGCCGGGAATTAAGACGAGGACGCCGTGCGTATCGGCCGCTAGCCATATGTGGTACTGACTTATGAAGAGCTCCAAGCTGATGTTGCCGAACCACGCGAAGAAGCTGGAGTATCTCGTGCGCAGCATTCCGGATATGTTTCTTAGTACCACGTAGCTGAGAATGGGAATGAAAACGATATATGAGTGAATTTCGATGCAATCGAACTCGTTGCCGCACAGAAACGTAAACGTAACGTAACAGCCGATTCCGATAATACCCGCTAACGTAGACGTAAGCGCGATACCTCTCGAGAATAAGTTGTTATGATTATTATCGTCGAAGATATTGTACCTTTGGGCCAGTAAGTGAATCACAGCAAACAGCATTCCGTACATCACAGAGTAACGATCTAACTTCCACCTGTACCACCACTCGTGGATATCGTCGTCGGTCGTTACGAACAGCGCCTTCCACGGCCTCGTTACGAAGATCTTCTCAAAGAAAACTTCGGACATAAATAAAATTGTAATCACGGTAAATAAACCGATGAACTTGATCACCAAGTAAAAGTATTGAATCACATTGTTCTCAGTCGTTTGCGCCGTAATATGAGGCGGTAAGGCTAGGACACCGTAACACATCATAAACCAAAACGACAGCAAGGGCACGAAGAAGTAAAACTGATACGGACGATTCATGCACAGACAAAGCGTGACCGTCATGAAATTCAGTTGGAAGAGTACTTTGAAGAAGTTGACCATACCGACGTCCGCCCGTTGCCACACATAGCAAAACTGCTGGTAGCCCAGCAAGAAAAGGTAAGCGGAGATCAGCACCTTAATATGCATGTTTATCGACAGGACCTGACTCGCGCCGGTCACGTGGTACACCAAAATTACCAGCTGCATCCACCCCTTCCACTCGTCGATCTGATCCGTGTGCAGCACCTTCGTGAACTTACTGTCCTCGGTGAAGAACAGGCCGAGCGCGCAAACGTAGCCGATCGGTAGCCAAAAGCTAAACTCGGAGTAGTACTTGTTCTCCTTCATGAAGAAGTTGGTGCGATCGCACACGAAGAAGTAAACCATTATAATCGCCATGATCGCCAGCGACGTGAACAGCGTGTACATGTCGCCGGGTTGTGTGGCGATCTGATTGTCCGATTCGAGCAACAAACTGTAGTCTTGCAGCGGCCTTCCTTTCAACTTTAAAACTCGACGATAAAGCGACATCACCGACGCGATCGCGATGCTACAACAAAGCCATTATTTTGAGCGTCGGCCATTGCACCTACCAGATCGCGAGGAAGGAGAACGTGACGATTTGCAGCATTGTGTAACTCTCCGTCGAGCTGCAGCACGAACCGTCGTTGAAGTTCATGTAATCGTTGCAGTACATGTTGAAGAGAATTTGGGTGTTGTGCTGTACGGCTCGCGATGCCAGATGTATACCGTCGGGACTTTCGGAGACCATCTCTTGCGCGACCAGTCTCGCGCTCCACCATAACTCGGCGGCCGAGTAGGATAAAACCTACAACAAAATCATACGTTTTCTGGAAAATGTAGACAACTGAAAAAAATAAATACATAAAATTAATTCCTTTCGTTGAGATCTTTCATTAGAGTACCATGAAGGATAAAACCGTCAATAATATTCCATCAGGAATTCCAATTTCCGTCTAGGAAACTGTAGAAGTAAGGTAACGTAATTTTTTTTTGATTTGCATAAAAATAACGATCGGACCTCACAAATAAACATTACTTCAACGCGCGGGTTTAACACTACTTACTGAACGGGCACGCGTCGTTCCAAACACACCTCCTCTTTTTTCGCCGTTGCAAAACCAACCAATCACACACATTTTACCCAACTATTTATTAGCCAACCTCTTTCGGTTATAAAATACACAATTGTAAAGTTAATGCATTTATTGAATCTTATTTTCGGCAGCAACACTGGAAGTGGCCAAGTATTTGGCCTTTGGGTAGAACATTAGGGGAGGAAGGCGGTCTTCACGATTGGCCAAGTATAGCATACTACATATGGTAGTCTGATGACCTCCCCCTTCGCCCTACTCCTCCAAGCCTAATGAGAATCTGCAAAACTCCTTACCTCAATCGCAGCTTTATTATACAAGTCGATCTGCTCGTTGGTGACCATTTGAAATTCGACTCTGAGCTTAGCCGGATTGACGGGCTGCTGCAACGACCACAGGACGCGCGTGCGATGCTCGTGCAGCTTATTAATCGGCTGCACGAGTCGAGTGAGATTCACGTTGTACTCCTGAATCGTGTTGAACGACGCGTTCGATTTTTGAATCGACCACAGGCCGCAGCCGACTATCACAACCGACGGCATCTCCGTAACGGCGGCGTGCCATTCTCTGAAAACGCACGCGATAACTTGCCGCTCTCGTACGGGGCGAGGAAGGTTCGCACCGGAACGTTTTTACCATGCGCGTCGATAAGTAGGGGCTCCAGATGTATTCGATCGTCAGTCGCAGTTTGTGATCCGTGAAAGTGAGATTCGTTTCCGGATTCGCGCCATCTGTATAATCGCGTTGCAAATGCTGGACAAATGCGATGTATAGTTCGCGTATTCGCGAATCGCCTATGAATACGAAGTGAGATTGCTTTCCGTAAAATGCCAGGTAGCGCAGGCAGGTTCGCGTGTCACTAAAAAACCAAAATGAGAGTGATATGTAATATTTGGGGGGAAAACCACTTCGTACTACGCTGTATTGTACAGTCTTCGTGACCGCAAGAACTTTATGAACGGTCGGAGACTCGGCACTATAGTGATGCAACGGAATTGTTATAACAGAAGACAAAATATGTTTTTTTACGGGAGCGGAAGCAGAAGCACGAATTAACCAGATGAATGAAAGTAAACGAACACAAATAAGTCGCCCGTCTAACAGCCGGCTCGGCTGGCAAACCCCGCCCACGTCACGCGCCATCCCGTTCAACCAATCAGAGCGCACCTTGCCATATTTGAAAAATTCGGGTATGTATCAATTATAAAATATGAAATATATAAAATATATAAATTTTCTTATAAGAAAATATGCCTTCGTTTTACATTTTATTTACTTACACTATGCACGATGACCAAATTTCAGCAGTACATTCCCCGAGACATTCCCTAAACTACCTACCATCAAATCTGAATTTTTTTATTAGAATGGGAACCGGTGTGAAGTTGGCAGCTGCATAAAGTGGTAGGAAATGAGAACCCTACACTTAACTTATGGTGGATTTATACTATCATTATCATTAGTTCACTATCAAAAATCATTAAGAGATAGCCAATAGAAACAAAGATTAGTGAACTAATGATAATGATTGTATAAACCCACCATCATTTTTACTGTACAGCACCCGCAGAAGTGGTTTTCCCCTCAGTAACATTTCAAAGGTAGTTACATTTGACTGTATCGATGCAGCATGCAACCGTACGGCTGCCATTCTTGATTCGCCTTATACCGGCCGTCCGACAGTAGCCACCTACACGAATCGCTACCTGTAAATACGTCATTTTAAGCTCGAAGCGTAGTGTAAGTCACCGACAAACCGTAACGTAAGTGAAGCAGTCCGTGATAGCATGCGAAACCTAAAACTAGAAAAAAGGCGGCCCTTTTGGCGTTTATTGAATTGATCTGGTCGATTATATTTTCAATGTTTGATTTTTCATTTGTCATAACGCTGGTACGCCCCCACAATGGGGGGGCTTCTGTACGCTTTTAACCAACTTATTAATTTACCGAAAATGCACTACATAACCTCAAAAGCCAAAACAAACAAACATCACTTCAAACAAGGTCGCATTCAATAAACGACGGATTGTACAGGGAGTGTCAATTAAGTATGTCACTTCCAAATTTTGAAAATGTTCCGCTCTCAAATGTTCCAAAATGTTTGCGTTTATTCTTTTAATTTTTGAAAATTTGAAAAGCGGCACGTGATCAAACATCTACGGCAGGACCCCATTACGTTAGTTGTAGTGATTAAGCCAATCCTTTAAATGTTATACATTCAATTTTTATAAATTCGCATGATCCGTCAGAGAATTGGAATAAGTCTTGTCATTATTCTCGTCATTTTATGTCTTTACTGTCATAAATGTCATGTATAACAATTGTATGTTGATTTGACAATACACGATTTAATTTAAGAAAAAAAGACAACGCTTTGACCTGAAACACAGTAGGGAAGGAACGTAAAATAAAACACTGAAATTGTGAAAAGTTTCTTTAATAATGATCGCAATTATTAAGATTGTAGAAGCTCGGAAATTTAAGTCGAAATAAATTACAATGCAAAAATAAACTTTGAAAATTGTAGTTCACCGAATAAAAATAGGCTGGGGAAAAAAGAACTTGTCAATAAAAAAAACCAGCCGTCAAATTAATATCAAACTGTGTTGTAAAATTAATTGTAATGGTGTGAATGCGAAACATAAAATTATAACATCACAAAAAGTAGCAGGTAAACTTAAAGAGGTAACATATAGGTTAAAAACAAGTTTTGGGAATTATGGGTGTAGTGTACTTAACCCCCAGGTTCTACGCTAACTTCACACTACAAGAACACGGAAATAAAGTCAACCCGGCAACGTCTAAAAATGGCCACACAAATGACTATTCCCTCCAAAACTAAACAAAATCCCGCTTAAATTTGAAAAGTGGCACGTGATAAAACATCTAAGGCAGGGCCCTCTTACGTTAGTTGTATACAACGCGTTGACCTGAAGCACAGTAGGGAAGGAACGTTAAATAAAACACTGAAATTGTGAAAAGTTTGTTTAATAATGATCGTAATTATTAAGATTGTGAAAGCCCGGAAATTTAGTTGATGTACGTTAATATAAACAAAACAAACAAAGCCAAAAGGTGTCGTACTCTCGTAAGTCACTGCCAAGGGTAAAAAGAGTACGACGAAGAAAAACCTTGCAGTTAACAGTCCAAAAGTTAATTAACAAAATATTTTGTAAAAGTTTAAGCAGTAGTTAACAAAGACAGTAAATGCATATACACAATGTTGGTTACACTCAAGCTTAAAAGCAAGTTTTTGGGGACAATGGGTCAGGCAGGAGCAGGTACCTAAATTCTGAGAAAGGGTGAAATACACAGGATGTAACTCATCTTTGGTGCAATAGTCTTTTGTTAAAAGCAAGATGGAAAATTACATGGCCTTGTAGGAAAATTTAACTAAAAACAAGATATGTGGAAATTATTGAATCGCCACTTGTTTATCGCACATCGATTCTAAACTGAAGAGCCTTGATTAGCGTAATCCTGTCCGGTAAGATAGGTAACCCGCCCCTGATTTCGAGCCTACAGTTGAATGTCAAAGACAATCACAGAATTAGGTGTCGTACTTCAAATTGTTACAGTTTTTTACCACCCCCGACACAGAGAAAATTGTTAGTTACAAACATCAAGTCAGTACATACATCAAACGAATAATAACGAATAAGCAAAAGTTGTCGAAAACACCTTGAAAATTAACTCGGTCATTGAACCGCGCAACTTCTGTAGAAGTGTGTGACCAGATAGGGGCTCCATCCCTTACGAACCGATAATGAACGTCTATAATAAATGAATTTCCATTTCCGAATCCTGAAATAGGTAATTATCCAATTTGTAGAACGTTTAGCTTATCGAAGGGTAGATTGAGACGCCCTACAAATAAGGTAAATTGTAATTATTTGTATTCAGTAAGGATTTTGGTGATCTTTTTGTCACTTACCCTCGACAAGCTGTTGGTTCCCAACTTGCAAATCTTGCTGCTCCTGTAATAATTAAAACATACAAGCAACTAATGGACTAAAAAATAGTCAAAAATCCAAGAAAATTAACAAATTAAGAACAAGCACACAATGTCGATATATTTATTTAAACAAATAATTCAGACCCCAACAGAAAATTTGAAAATAAAGAGGAAAAGAATTGTTTATTTGTTAAACAACTAAAAAAATATGTTTACATTAAATTTGTCGACAATTAAACTTAACGTAAGAGTCCTTCTCGTGTAATAAAAGTCGGTAGAGAATGCAGATCTTGTTAAGTTGGTTTGCAAGCGTGTGCCAATTATCTACAACATATTGTGAGTATCACCACGATGATTTTATAATCGCTACAATAATAGATTGCATTACTCTTTCATATTTACAATTAAGAAATTAAACAAACGAAAATAAGCGAAGTTTTTCAAATTCATCACAAAATAGTTCAAGACACAGACGGTAGGTCAATCACAGTTTTATCACAGATTCCGTCTATGCGTGCATTGTTAAAAAAGTTAATCAGGAACGTAGTTGAGTGTCTAATACTAATCCTTAACGTAACGAGTATTAAAAAGGCAACTACATATCCGAGTTCACAGTCACTTCACATTCAACGGTTCTCCTCGGGAAGCTCTTCTTCGTTGTCCAGTTTACTCGTTCCGGCGTTACAGAAACGGCACTTGCAACACACAATGCAGGGTGCTGCCAGGAGCAGTAGCGGAGACGCGACTAGCAAGAGAATACCGAAACCTGCAAATATGCCGATGACTTGAGTTCTATGCCAAATGACGGACGCACGTGAATGACCTAGCTTATTTTTACACGGTCCTTTATCGTAGTGTCTTAGCAAGAAGTCATCCTGTAACAAACGTGTCGTGAAAGCCTCTCGCGCAGGGGGCCGACTTACATCGAGACTCGCAAGGCAATACCAGCAAAAGACGTGTTTGCACCTTTTGCACATCATTTGAGCACAGCCTTCGTCTTTTTCTATAGGAACGTTACACATGGGACAGCATTTTATAAAGTCCGAATTGAAGGAAATTCCCGGATCTTCCACCTGAAATAAAAAAAAGTTGCGCTGGTTACACTAGGGTGCTATGAGTGGAGGACCTTCCGGTTGTGGAAAAACTAACATTACGAAAAAAACTCACTTTCCCCTCCTTGGCGAGCCGTTTCGAATTTTGCTCGCAGGAGACGCCGGAATGCCACTCCAGCTTGCAGTTACTGCAAAAATCGACAGTACAAGTGGGACAGTGGACGCACTGCGGGAGGCACGGTTGCGACGGACACAGCGTGCAAACGGTCTCGCATCCCGCTCTCGGGCACCACGTTCGATTCTTATCCAGCTCCACCTCTGCAAGTCAACAAATCAGTGTGCGAGTCGCGCCTAAGACTCGACGTACCCCTATTCAACCGATACTTCTTGTGCTTCTGCAACAAGTCCTTCCCGACCAATCGATCGATTTCGTCCTCGGTCAAGGCACCCTGAGACGGACATTGTGCATCCGGACACGAAATATCGTACGCTCCCTCTGCTATTTCGAATTCAACGTACGCTCTCATACACTATTAAAAAAACGGGGAGTTACGCGACCGCGGCACTTAAGCCGCCGACACTTACCTGTTTACAAAAGGCGCAATTGCATTGAACAATTTTACAGGCATCTTTAGAAGGAGTTTCGGCCAAACAAAGTTTACATAACAACGGCGATTCCTCGACGACCGGTTCAAAGCCTCCCGTCGCGGTATTGAGCGAGTAACGCGAATTCGAGGCTAAAGTCAATAAACTGGAACATCTCGAGCAAATACGCGAAGATGAGCCATGCGGGGAGACACGTAACCGATTAACGGGCTGCAGGGGTTCGATACTGCTCGAAGACGATCCGGAACGAAGAACGCTAGTTAACGCGAGAACCGTGTCGCACTTTCGTAAACTCGCCAAACTAACCGAGGAGCGCACGATGTTCGCGCTTTCCTTTTTAACCAGCGGCGCCGCTGTGTCGATCTCGCCCGAACCGGATCCGTTGCTTCGACGTCGCGAGACGAGTGACTTGAGGCCCGGCATCGCCAAAATGTCGACACGGCTGCGCGGCCGTCTTGTTGATTGTTGAGACGCATGAGGCGCGGCAAGCGGACTCACCACCCTTTGACCTTTTAGGTCTAATAAATTGGAGCCCTCAGCCACGTTCCCGAAGCTCTCCTCGCGCTCACTTAAGGTTCCGTAACCGACAGACCAGGAGCATATGGCTCGCCGTCTCTCCCTCCTCGTCGGCGGGTCCGCCCAGACCGCGCTTAGGCAAGGCTTGCGTTTCGACGAAGCGTTTCGTAATTGACAAGACGTTTTCGATTCACATAGTGGTTGAATTGGTAAGGTCATTTTCGTTCGATGTGTGTGATTGACCGCGGGCGTTCTTAAGGCGATCCTGAAATGGAAAGAGCGTCAGTTACGTTTCGGCAATTTTTCGGTTGTCAGAATAGTAGCGTCACACGGATATAGTGATCACTAATTCCTTCAAATGGCACTATTTTCAAATTCCGATCGGCCAACTAATGCACTTTTGTGAATTGCACATTTTGAGGTTTGGAGTAGTGACTTGTAGTGGACTTGTGGGTATGGTGAATATTGGCAACATAACACACGAAAGTGATCATGGAAAAGAAGGCCGCCAATTTACTTTCCCTCTCTCCCCCGCTCCCCTCTCTCTCTTAAGGCGTTTGTGGGATCCAACGTGATGCTGACACGTTTACGGAACAGTGGGAGATTCGGAGAATTATCGTGTTTGCAAAAGTCGACCCTTCAATTTCCTGAATCTACTTAATCAATTAGCCTTCTATAAGTCGCATTACATAATCCGAAGGGCATCTCACAGAAAACCGCACTATTCGGTATTAGCGAAGTTTGGCAACAGCGCAATACTCCCTTACTAGTCATTGTTATTGCTATAAGGTTTATAGCATTACTCTTACATACAAAAAATCAATCAACCTTTGAAAAATAAGGGGAGCATTACATAAACCGAAGGGCATCACTTTGAATTAATGGTAGAACGTAGGGAAGATTGAGGCATCTTTGAAGTAAAGGGAAGTTGAGAAGTGTCCCTGTAATAGAAAATCTTAGTGTGCGGGAGCATTTCATAAACCAAAGGGCATCACTTTGAATTAATGGTAGAACGTAGGGAAGATTGAGGCGTCTTTGAAGTCAAGGGAGGTTGAGAAATGTCCCTGTCATAGAAAATCTTAGTGTGCGGGAGCATTACATAAACCAAAGGGCGTCACTTTGAATTAATGCTAGAACGTAGGGAAGATTGAGGCGTCTTTGAAGTCAAGGGAGGTTGAGAAATGTCCCTGTCATAGAAAATCTTAGTGTGCGGGAGCATTACATAAACCAAAGGGCATCACTTTGAATTAATGGTAGAACGTAGGGAAGATTGAGGCGTCTTTGAAGTCAAGGGAGGTTGAGAAATGTCCCTGTCATAGAAAATCTTAGTGTGCGGGAGCATTACATAAACCAAAGGGCATCACTTTGAATTAATGCTAGAACGTAGGGAAGATTGAGGCGTCTTTGAAGTCAAGGGAGGTTGAGAAATGTCCCTGTCATAGAAAATCTTAGTGTGCGGGAGCATTACATAAACCAAAGGGCATCACTTTGAATTAATGGTAGAACGTAGGGAAGATTGAGGCGTCTTTGAAGTCAAGGGAGGTTGAGAAATGTCCCTGTCATAGAAAATCTTAGTGTGCGGGAGCATTACATAAACCAAAGGGCATCACTTTGAATTAATGGTAGAACGTAGGGAAGATTGAGGCGTCTTGGAAGTCAAGGGAGGTTGAGAAATGTCCCTGTCATAGAAAATCTTAGTGTGCGGGAGCATTACATAAACCAAAGGGCATCACTTAGAATTAATGGTAGAACGTAGGGAAGATTGAGGCGTCTTTGAAGTCAAGGGAGGTTGAGAAATGACCCTGTCATAGAAAATCTTAGTGTGCGGGAGCGAAGGGCATAACTTTAAACTTACCTTTTCCGAACCGAGGTGGAGTGTGGTAAAGGTTGAGACGCTTGTGGATTCAGGACGACCCCTTCACAGAAAACCGCACTATTCGGTATTAGTAAAGTTTGTCAACAACGCAACGGAGGCTTACTTCAAACAGAATTTCATATTTTGCCGCTCCCATGAGATTCTACTTACTAAACCAACTTACTCAGCCCATAAGCTGGAGCATTACCTTATCCAAAAGGCGTTACTTTGACCTCATGTTACAATTGGCTGTTTTGAAATGCGGATACTTTCTCTAGGCTAAGTAGGGTGAATTTGGAGATTGATAGGGGGTTGTTGACTAACCCTTACGCTAAGTGTCACTACTTTAGTAAATGAGGAAACCGCAGTATTGGCAACACTTCATTTCTAATAGAATTTGATTTATCGTAGTTGCCATGAGACTCGAAGCTTCCTAAATTACTCTAGCATTGAGAAAACTATCCACTTACACTTAATAAGGTCGCCGATTCAAGATCATTGCCCATGTGAGGATTGCGCCAAGGCAATTAAGGAACTGAATCACAAAAGTAGAATGACGGTAAAATACGACCGAGATTACCTTATCAGTGCGAAGGCTATTAGATATGCTTTAATCATCGCTAATTAAATAAGTGGCAGATACTTGCACTTTTTTCGGTACGGAAATTAAGGTCGGCGTTCGCTTCGTACACACTTACCATCATTATTTCGAGTAGTTAATTCTGACGTCCGCGAAAAAATCTGTAACAAAAAAAGAAAAGGCTAGAAATAGGCACGATAATGATAGTACTTACGTCTATTAGCAAACGCTTATCCTAAATTGACACAGCAAACGTTAGATTAGGCTCATCCTATTTCTTTCATTTTTTGGCCGTTTCATAACCGCGGAGTAGGAGAGTTGGCTTGGCAGAAGTAAACAAATAACTAACGCGTGACCTTGTTCTTTACACACCAAAGCAGCATTTACATGACAGTATGCATGCAATTAATTTATCAATCGCGTTTACATAAACGTCGATTACATAGGTGGATAATTCAGAATAATTTGCTCGGTTCTGCCACCATACTTGAGGGAATTTTCTCTTTTCTTCTTCTTTTCGAGGTCACACCCCTAGCGAGGTTGAGAAATGGCACTTTCATAGAATACCTCAGCGAGGGGGCATTACGTAAACCAAACGGCATCCATTTAAACTAACAGTACGAGGTTAACTTCCCGAGAAGCGAACGGTGGTCCGGCACTTTTGAATACTTGGTGCGGTGTGTGACCGGCGATACACTGACCGGTTTCTTCCTCTTCCGACATTCCTCCTGCGAGTGTCCGGGATTTCGGCAATTCGTGCACTTGAGTTTGCGGTGGCGGCTTCTGCAGGATGTTTTGTCGGCTGCAAGTCCTCGAACTTCCGGGATTCGTCTTGGATCTCGGCGAAGGTTTCAAAGAAGGTGCGGGGGGTTTTGTTACGTATCCTCTGGTGAAGAGCCCAAACATACTCCTCCTCGATGCGGGCCAGCAGCGTTCGTTTTTTTTTGCGATGAAGAGCCCAGTGGTGTTCCTTCAACTTGCTCCTTGGCGAAGATTTCTCGGAGGCGCTGGTCCGAAGTAGGGTGGGCGTCTATTTCACCCCTTGCCAACATGTGGCAGCGTGTGGGGGAATATTAGGTAATTTGAATTTGAGGGGGAGGATTTAGAATTAGTTGAGGAGGATTTGAGGAGAATGCATCGCAATGAAAATTTGTCTGGAGGAAACTCTCCCAAACAAAGACCCGTTCATGATAATTAACCAGGTGTTTTTAAATTAATTGGCCGGCGGGCTGACTAATAATTAATTCTTCTATCGCGCCTCTCTTACAAATATAATTAGGGAAACGAAACGATGTTTACTAATTAATCTTTCATTTATGATAATTTATTTTTAAATTTCAAGCTACTTACCTACCTTTAGTTCTCGGGGTACGACAGCCTTGGGGGACCGAGGAGTTTTCCCCGGAGAGCTCTTAATGAACTCGGGAGTTTTCCTGCGGCTTTCAAGGTGAAGAAAACGAGTAAATGAGTGATTATTCGTCGCCTTCATCGTCACTTAAACTAAGGTCAATAAAGTTATATAATAAATTGATACCGAGAATATTAATTTGTTAACCGCTCACAACACATACCAGATTTGTGCAAAAGCGAGCGAGGAACGGATCACGCACTCGATGAATGTTCCTAAATTGCTATCAATTCTCGCCTCGCGACTCTCTGAATTGAAGATTTTAAGGAAACGAGCGAAGGCTTTTCGGAAAAACCTAAGCGAGAGTGACGTAGCCTAATTAAGAGCCGCACGCTAATTTACATGCTATCGATAATTAGCTCGAAAAGCTGATAATTAGCCATCCCAATATTGAATTCCGTGTTTCCGTGGTCTCAAGGACTTGAAACGCCAAGTTTTCAATATTGCATATCTCTCTGGTCTATGCCGCAAGCCCGGCTACAAAAAGGCATCCACTGACAGGTACACTCCCTGGCGACTCTTCTACGCGTAAATTATTTTGTTATTATTCACAATATGAATGGCAATGCGGCGAGCTTACATAAAACCGGTTTTCTACTTGCCACCGAAAAACTAATGGAACCCTAGGAAACTATAGATGGGGGAGTCACTTCTCAATCAAAAGTTATAGACTAGAAACCAATTTCGAAAGAAAATTCAAAGGGCTGTAACTTTTGAACTAGTAGCTCAATCTTGGAACTGTTTGAAATTATGGATTCTACAGGCCACATTCTATAAGACAATTTTTTTCCGGGTCGATCTGAGACAATTTTTTTTTTCGGGCCTCAAAAAAAGGCAGTGTATAACCTTCCTTTTTTACCAAAAATCGACTGCACCAAAATTTCTCGGGAAAACACTTTTTCTTATTAATTTTGGTGCGTAGAATCCAAAACAATTCGTACTTTTTCGATCAGACTTCTCAATCAAAAGTTATAGACTAGAAACCAATTTCGAAAGAAAATTCAAAGGGCTGTAACTTTTGAACTAGTAGCCCAATCTTGGAACTGTTTGAAATTATGGATTCTACAGGCCACATTCTATAAGAAAATTTTTTTCCGGGTCGATCTGAGACAATTTTTTTTTCGGGGCTCAAAAAAAGGCAGTGTATAACCTTCCTTTTTTACCAAAAATCGACTGCACCAAAATTTCTCGGGAAAACACTTTTTCTTATTAATTTTGGTGCGTAGAATCCAAAACAATTCGTACTTTTTCGATCAGACTTCTCAATCAAAAGTTATAGACTAGAAACCAAATTTCGAAAAAAAATTCAAAGGGCTGTAACTTTTGAACTAGTAGCCCAATCTTGGAACTGTTTGAAATGATGGATTCTACAGGCCACATTCTATAAGAAAAAATTTTTTCCGGGTCGATCTGAGACAATTTTTTTTTCGGGGCAAAAAAAAGGCAGTGACCTTCCTTTTTTCCAAAAATCGACTGCACCAAAATTTCTCGGGAAAACACTTTTTCTTATTAATTTTGGTGCGTAGAATCCAAAGCAATTCGTACTTTTTCGATCAGACTTCTGGAGCATTACATAAACCGAAGGGCATCACTGTTCGATACAGATTTTTTTGAAGTTTCCATCTTTCTTTCGAATCTAAGGAGGAGGTTGAAGGACGACTTCTTCATAGAGGCATTAGACAACATCGCAATGTTCCTTCACTCCCAATAGAATTTTATTTATTGGAATTGCTACGCGATTCCTAAATTACTCTTACATTGAGATAACTATCTAGTTATACTTGATCGATGAGCCTTTCAAAACTAGCGGGAGCATGACATAAACCTCGACATAAACCGAAGGGCATCATTTTGAAGTAATGGTAGTATGCGGAAGGGCATCAATTTAAACTAAGGCTACACTTTTTTGAAGTTTCCATCTCACTCCTTCGAATCCTTCTGAATCACATAGAGAAAACTAATTACTTAATCCATCAGCCTTTGTAAAATGATGGAGCATTACATACTTAACGGTATACCTCCAAGAAACGCACCTGGACTTCGAGGTGCATGGACCGGAGCTGCCGGCTACTCTATATCAGGTTTTTCTGGGTCAATGTGCTGTAGGAGTAGAGTTCCGAGAGATCGAGCTCGACCCGCGACTCTTGAAGGGGATAAGGAGAACCCACGAACACGAGTACTGAGCCCCAGGAGACGACTACCCCGGTCTACCGTCTGGTGTAGGACTCCTAGGGGTTGTGTCGCTGTAAGCGCAGTGAGTGATCGGCGCGGTAAGAACAGTCGTAAGTTTGACCATAGCCTCCACTATTCGATGCGGTCCCATCCAGGGGGGCGAGAAGTAACTATGACTCACTGAATTTAGAAGGGGGTCGAGACCAAGCCTGAAGCCTGCCATCCCAGAGGAGTGGTCCATTCGCATCAAAACTTTAAGAAAATACTATCCAACGAACCACGAAGGTCCGCAGACGTTAGAGATTTAAGTAAAAACGTAACTAACACCGGGGATCACGTGGAGGGGGGGGGGTTATGGAATACCCCCCATAATACGAGGTTTTTATTCGTATGGTTATACGAATTATGTCATGGTAGTGATGATTGTAGAAAAAAAGGACAACTAATTTTCGTTTATTGGAGGGAGTTATCCCCCCCCCCCCCTGAACAGATTGATCATCTAAAATTGTTTAGCGTTGGCACTCGCATCAAAATGTTAGAGAAAATACTATCGAACGATCCACGCACGAGTGTCCTCCTCAAGAGGTAGAGAGATTTATATATGCACAGGGGGTGGGGGTGTTTATTCGTATGGCTGTACGAATTATTTCATGATAGTGATGATTGTAGAAAAAAGGGACAACTAATTTTCGAATGAACCACTCTCCTCAGAGGTTAGAGATTTCAGTAAAAACGTAACTAACACCGGGGAGTCTGGGGGGGGGGGGTATAGAATACCCCCCAAAACACGAGGTTTTTATACGTATGATTATACTAGTTTTTTATTTCAATGGGTTATACAAATTATTTCATGGTAGTGATGATTGTAGGAAAAAGGGACAATTAATTTTCGTTTACTGGGTGGGGTATTACCCCCCAGACCCCCCGGCACTGCATGATCGTCAAAAATTATTTAGCGTTGGCACTCGCATCAAAATGTTAGAGAAAATACTATCGAACGATCCACGCACGACTGTCCTCCTCAAGGGGTAGAGTTTTAAGTATGCACGGGGGGGGGGGTGTTTATTCGTATGGCTGTACGAACTATTTCATGATAGTGATGATTGTAGAAAAAAGGGACAACTCATTTTCGAATGAACCACCCTCCTCAGAGGTTAGAGATTTAAGTAAAAACGTAACTAACAACGGGGAGTCTGGGGGGGGGGGGTATAGAATACCCCCCAAAATACGAGGTTTTTATTCGTATGATTATACTAGTCTTTTATTTCAATGGGTTATACAAATTATTTCATGGTAGTGATGATTGTAGAAAAAAGAGACAACTAATTTTCCTTTACTGGGTGGGGTATTACCCCCCAGGCCCCCCGGTAGTGCACGATCATCCAAAATTATTTAGCGTTGGCACTCGCATCAACATTTTAGAGTATAATACTATCGAACAATCCACCACGCACGAGTGTCCTCCTCAAGGGGTAGAGTTTTAAGTATGCACGGGGGGGGGGGGGGGGTGTTTACTCGTATGGCTGTACGAATTATGTCATGATAGTGATGATTGTAGAAAAAAGGGACAACTCATTTTCGAATGAACCACCCTCCTCAGAGGTTAGAGATTTAAGTAAAAACGTAACTAACAACGGGGAGTCTGGGGGGGGGGGGATGTAATACCCCCCAAAATACGAGGTTTTTATACGTATGATTATACTAGTTTTTTATTTCAATGGGTTATACAAATTATTTCATGGTAGTGATGATTGTAGAAAAAAGGGACAACTCATTTTCGAATGAACCACCCTCCTCAGAGGTTAGAGATTTAAGTAAAAACGTAACTAACAACGGGGAGTCTGGGGGGGGGGTATGTAATACCCCCCAAAATACGAGGTTTTTATACGTATGATTATACTAGTTTTTTATTTCAATGGGTTATACAAATTATTTCATGGTAGTGATGATTGTAGAAAAAAGAGACAACTAATTTTCCTTTACTGGGTGGGGTAATACCCCCCAGGCCCCCCGGTAGTGCACGATCTTCCAAAATTATTTAGCGTTGGCACTCGCATCAACATTTTAGAGTATAATACTATCGAACGATCCACGCACGAGTGTCCTCCTCAAGGGGTCGACTTTTAAGTATGCACAGGGGGGGGGGGTAATGGAATAGCCCCCAGAATACAAGGTATTTATTCGTATGATTATACAAGTCTTTTATTTCAATGTGTTATACAAATTATTTCGTGGTAGTGATGATTGTAGGAAAAAGAGACAACTAATTTTCCTTTACTGGGTGGGGTATTACCCCCCCAACCCCCCGGTACTGCATGATCATCCAAAATTATTTAGCGTTGGCACTCGCATCAACATTTTAGAGTATAATACTATCGAACGATCCACGAGTGTCCTTCTCAAGGGGTAGAGTTTTAAGTATGCACAGGGGGGGGGGGGTTTATTCGTATGGCTGTACGAACTATTTCATGATAGTGATGATTGTAGAAACAAAGAACAACTAAGCGCGCAACTAAGTATCGAACGAACCACGAGGGTCCTCCTCAGAGGTTAGAAATTTAAGTAAAAACGTAACTAATACCGGGGAGCCGGGGGGGGGGGGGATGGAAAAGCCCCCAGAAAACGAGGTATTTTTTCGTATGATTATACGAGTCTTTTATTTCA